CCCCTACCCACTTTAGTGCATTTTTCAAATTTCGCCTTGGGGCGGAGTTATCTTTTCACAGGGGGGTAAGTTACACTTTAAGTCTTCTCATTGACATTCAGCTGTTTGGGTTCATATATCATCACCTGGTGGATCAGTGACACATGTCAACAAAATGATTGACAGCTTTCACCCTCAGCTGTTAACATTAATGTTGATCAATAACATTTATAGGCCTCACTTAGTGCTTATAAATGTAGCAAGTGCTAATCCACTAATAAATTTTAAAATTAGAAAAAGCCCTAAAGCACTAAWCAGGAAATTAGTTCCCTTATTAGTGCTTTAAGGGAACTGTGTCCACCACTAAAGTGAACTTATTAATGATGGTCATGAGGACTGGAGTTGAAATTTAAAGCAAGTAAAGGATAACTGAGGAAACCCAAACAACCATAACTATCAGATTTATCTAAAAGGAAAGTCCAAAGGATGAAATCTGAAAATCTTGTTTCACACAATTAAAATATTGTTTCACCTGCTTTCTCTTTAAGTGCTTTTACAAACGCAGATTACAATTGTTTTTTAAAATATTTTATAGATAAAGTTGTGGGTAGTGATGTGCAGATCGATGTTCTAGAATCGATACTAAAATCAAAATATCCATACTTTGATACTTCAGTTATTTCACATAATGTTTATCATTAACAGGAAACTAGTGGAAAATAACTAAACTGTTCAAATCTTGTCTAAATCATGTGGTTGGAGGGAACTACTTTTTCTTCTGCTTGTATCATGCATCAGCACAGTGGCACGGGCTTCAGTCAGTCACTCAGTCTAGATGTATGGCAGGCCATTTTAACATAAAATCTGCTTTGTCTGACTGTCTGTAATTACATTTTAGATGAGGGGTTCCCAAACCTTTTTTATTCCACGGCCCCCCACACAGGATCAGTTCTGGTCAGGACCCTTCTTACAAACACACAAACAATACTACATAATGTACAAAGAAAATACTTTTAGGACATTTTTCTCACTTTTATTCACTTGTCAAAAAACATTATATTTCTTTAGAATGAGAATTTTAAATTGTGCTAAACAAATGTAGGGTTAGAGTTAAATTAGTAAATAAATGACTATGTCATGTATTATTTATAAAGCGGTTGTTTGAAAAACGCTACTTTTTAAGAATTACCAGACACATTAGGTGTGTTATCAGAAAGTATCAGTATCGGATCAGTATCGCCGGTACCAGACACATTTTACCTGGTATCAGTATTGGAAAGAAAATTTGCAGCATCAAACATCACTAGTTGCTGGCATCAGGGCCTTTTAGGCCCAATCCTCTTTTTATTGTACCTGTACCCTTTAGGAGGTATTTTAAAACGTTACAGTAATGTGTCCTACCATCTGTATGCTGATGACATACAGTTGTACTGTTCCTKTAGACCCTCTGAGTTCTTCAAACTGTCTGAACTCTTTAACTGTCAGAAGTCAAAATGTCTGAACAACAACTAGCTTAATGCAAACAAGACTGAGACTCTTATTACTGCCCCAGATTATAAACTCCCTGTAACCAGGCAGCACCCGGGTTTTTTAACCCCTTCAGTGAAAAATAGTCTCAGAAATCTGGGTGTTGTCTTTGACACTTCCTCATTTTCCACAAAACTGGAGTGTGATGACTGAAAGGAACGCCTCCTGTTGTACTTTTACCACAAATAAACCTGCAGTCTGAGAGTGAAGGACTCTGTTATGCTGCGTTCACACCGAACGTGATTTCAGCTTCAAAATCGCAGCCAACGCTGAAGTT